CCTCCTCCTCCTCCTCCTCCTCCTCCTCCTCCTCCTCCTCCTCCTCCCCCCCGTTCTTTCTCTCTTGTTTCTCTTAAAGATGGCTGGCTGGGGAATTCTGGGAGTTGAAGGCCACACATCCTCAACTTGCCAAGGCTGAAAAAGGCTGCCTTCATGTGGGGTTTGTAGGAAGTTGCCAGATAGGAGCTGCCTCTGATAATCTGGTTTGGGCTGTGGTTTTTTTCTTTTTTCTTTTTTGATGGTTCCTTGATTGGAACTTCATTTCTTCCTGCGGCAGGGGTTGGCCCAGGAAAGGAGGGGCCCTGAGCTGTTTGTTGGTTTTCTTCCTAGACATTTAATTTAATTTTTAATTTTTATGTGCTATGTCGACAGGGTGCCTTGATGTGTCCGGAATTGATTGATCTGTTGGGTGTTGACATTCAACCAAAGATAAACTTGCCAAAGTAAACACCTTGTCCACTTTTTTTTTTTTTTAAGTGGGGGCGAGGTCTGATTGCACCACCAAAAACACCTTGACTGGTCCCTCGATTTGCAAGACTGCAGTCCCTTCCCCGGCCAAGAAAAATCTCCGTCAAATCTCCTTTCCCTTCAACAAATCTTGTTAAGAAGACCGTGGGATGTGTGCTTTCTGCTTGAATCCACCACCCGAGAAGCTGAAGGATGGATGTCCTGCGCTCTGCCTCGGTGGACACGATTGAGAAATATCCAGAGTTGTGTTAAAAAAGTTAGTATGTACATCTGGAAGAGGAGGAGGAGGAGGAGGAGGAAATGAGGGGAGGAGCTGGGGTCCTCCTCTTTTTTCACAATTTAAAAGATTTCCACCCTGTCTCTGCCTCTTTCCATCTTCTCACCTTCTGCTGCTCCCTGGAAAGACTGAAATGGTGAGGGTCCCAGGGTTTAGACTCCCTTTTTTTCTCTTTTTCAATAACTTTTTCACAGGATGCTTACTTCCATTCTCTGGAAGATGGATTCTAAGCTTTGTTGCAATTCTCTATGTTTTCTTAAACTATACATCGAATTATTAACATTCTCCCAAATGGTTGCTATCATCTTGCTCTATCTTGACTTGCTTTACAGCAGATGGGTGATTTGCTTTTCCCTTCTATAAAACTGGCAGACATATTTGAAGACGCTGTTCAAACCTGCAGCATCCCATGAATATCTCATTTTAGTGCCTCAGTTCTTTTCTTTTCACAAAAGTGTCATCACTTTGGAGAGTTGTTAGATTTATAAGTTTTTCATATGCGATTTTTTATGACTGAACATACCACAGTCTAGACTTGGCTAGATTCTTGCTGTATATAAATAGTTGTCAAAAAATAAATGTTCAAATCGACATGTTATTTGCACTTAATAGAGTTTACCATCCTTAAAAATGTTTTCCTGGAGTAATTTAACACAATCCATGTTTTATTCTTATTTTCTACCAGACAACCTATACAGATAAAGGAGAAAAGGTAAGCTCACTTTAAATATTATGTTCTTCTTAAATGTTTTGTTTGGCATTTTTAAGGGTGTTTTGATTTTTTTTTAAACCTTTTTTTTAAACCAGTTCCTTCTTTTGAACGTGCCCTATCCGTTGATTAAATAAACAAATATTTATCCTTTAAAATATGGTTCATATTGGAATCCCAAATGCAGTGAAACAGGTTAGATAAAAAGCTTGTTTAAAAATAATATTTTTTCTTAAGCATAGGAAAACTTGTCAAAATCTGTTCTTAGCAAGCGATGTATATTGCTGTAAGAGTGGGCTGATATAATAAGAGCATGATGTGGTTTCAATTTTATATCTATTGAAGAAAAAAAACCACATTTATCTTTTATTTAATCTGGTTCTTATTATAACTATGACTTTTTCACACATTACTCAAAGCTGGATCAGCCAATGAACATATTCTGATCTGGAACAAGTAACGAATTCCAGATTTTGTCTGCACAACTGAATTATGCAATAAAATGAATGGATAATGCTACAAACTTAATCACATCAATGTTGGAGGTTTTAAAAGAGGCTTAGATGTGTTTTTGGTGATTTTCCATCCAAGTTTAGCTTGCAGTTCTGGAAATCTGCAGCTGGGTTTGCAAAACAGTCAAAGCAAAAAATAACAACAACAACAACAACAATAATAATAATTTCGTGCTACCTTAGCATATTGTGAAATCAGCCATGATTGTTTGGAAATCTTGGTTTATGGAAGCCACCCCCAGTTGTGCTTTAGTTGAACAGTCCTGAATGTAAAAAATAATTGGAGCCGCCACCTCTCTGGCTCTGACAGACAAATTTAACAATCCTCCTAAAATGGACGAGCCTTCGAAAGGTTGAACTTTGCCTGGAGTTTGCAAACATGCAACCGTGCTTTGGGTAAACTCTAAACCCAGCTTTTGGTAAGTTCTGAATCAGACCAAGGGCTAAGTTGCTTGCCGAGAAGGGAATGCAAACCAAATCCAGCAAGTGAGAACTTTCCTTCAGTTTGGGAGCTAAAGCAGGTCATTGGATAAAAACAAAAATAAAAATGGGATCTTCTTTAAAAACATTATTCAAGGGGTAATTGGCACTCGTCCTCTTGCGTAAGAGCTGGGTAAATATTTTCCAGTCAACTTGATCTTTAACCTAGCAAGGTTATCAGAAGCTTTGCCAGCCCAGGCAGTGATGAAGGCTGGGGGCATCTTTGCAAAATGCTTGGAAATACAGGGGTGGAAGTCACAGCTGGATCCAACAAGCTGAAAGCAAACCAGCTTCAAAGGGTCACTCCAGTCCAGATGTCTTGTGGACATTTGGGCTGGGGTATGGAATTCTTCTAATAGAAGAGGAAGATTTGTAGCTCAGGGTTGAACTGTGGGGCCCTTAGTGCTCTCTGAGCTGGCTTGTTTTCTTGCAGACATTTCATGACCCAACTAGGTAACACCATCAGTGCTAGAAGGGAGTGGCATTTGCAAACAAGAGGAGGAGGATGACTGTGTGGTCCTTGATGTTCTCTGAACTTGGCTGTTTTCATGACCCAACTCAAGAACATCATCTGTGCTAGAAGGGAGGGTGTTTTTATTTGTTATATACTAATGAGGAGCAAATCCCACTCCCTTCTAGCATGGATGATGTTCCCTAGTTGGGTCATGA